TTTGTTCTGGATTCCTTTTTCATCCTGCCTTTTAGGAGGACCTTGCCCTTTTCTTGTGTCTCCAGTCAGTCTAGCCCCCAGCTCCTCAGCCTATAAACCCGGTCACATCTTTACTGTTCCCATCCCTGTGACCCTCCTGCAGCACTTGTACTGATGACATACGCTCTTCCCTTGGCCTCTCAGGTCTCTGCTGAGACCCACCCACTCCACGTCTACCAAGAAGGCTTTCGTTTTTAGTTCCTTTCTGGGTTAATAGTGTCCACTTGATCACTGAATCAGCCAACCTAGAAACTTATTTTGCTCCTTTCTCTCTTCATCTTTTCTAACTTGCCACCAGTCATGTCAGTTTTCCCTCTTGCATATGTCTCATGACTCTGTCCCTAGCCATCTACACTATACAGTCATAGTGTAACTTATCCTGTGAGGGCAGGGTCTCAAGGACTGACATGTGTTCTCCTTGCAGACTCTGAGAGAACCATGGAGGTCTGCCACAACACTCTAGCCAATTCCTTGAGCATCATACCAGTTTTGGAAGGACCCACGCCACCACCCGACTCCCGAAGCACACCTCAAGACAGCAGCGGGCAGCAGGAGTGCTACCTCGTGTTCATCGGCTGCTCCTTGAAGGAGGAAAGCATCAAGGACTGGCTGCGGCAGTCAGCGAAGCAGGTGGTTGCCAAAGCCCAGACAGATTGGTACAGATATGATGAGCACTTGTCAGGGCTGCTGCTGGCCTTGAGAAAGAAGCTCCACTGCCTGCCTGCTGCCTCTCCACTGGTCTGCCCCGACAGGCTCAGCCAGAACTTGCAAGGATGCTTTAAGAGTGGGAGGAAGCCACTCAGGGCAAATTCAAGGCAGACTTGGTTTCATAGCCAATTCCAATTCTAGTTCCAAAGGCAGATTGAAGTTATTAGGTTGCTTAACTAGGACCTAGGTGAAACCAAGTTGTTCCATGTGGACCCTTGGTCAACCTGGTATTCTAAACTCAAAATGTCTTTTCTTAACTGAACCTAGTTCAAAGACTCCTGTATTCTGAGCCTAGAATCTCTTGTACTTGGGCTCTCTTTCTAGAAGGGAGAAACAACAAAGATATGGTTAGAGCTATTTGCAAACCAAGACTCGAAGCATGGATAGCAGTGAGCCCTGGGGCCCTGGAGACAGGTGCAGGGGAAAAGGAGACTTGCCTGTAAATGCACACAAGCATCTTTAGCCCGATACCACAAAGAAAAGTAAAACCCAGACTAGACTTAAAAATTAAAAATCCTTCAATATGCCTCAAGTCTTGGGTGCTAAGCCTCTTAGCACAGCCTTAGAGGTTTAGCTCATCCTAGAACTCTGGAAACAGAGTGGGCTGGGGCCCGGGTCTTTTGTAGATGCTCAGCTGGGACCTGTCTTTTATACTGAGGAATGGCTGCCTGTAGGCTGTGTCTTTATCAGACTCACCTGGATAAACTCCTAAATGGTGCTTGATCATGGGACCTCAGGTTATTGCTTTGTCTGCATGTCTGTCACTGGTGACACTTAGGGTTGAGAATCTACAGAGGTGGAACGTGCCTATTTGCAAATGTTCTCCCCTGGTGCACAGGGCTCTATGGTGGGAAAGTAGTCTTCTTGAGGGGCAGACAGGCAGGATATTGTGTCCAGGCCATGAAAGCACTTGTGCTTTTCCCTCCACTGGGATCTTAGTCATGTATCTAGCCCCCAGAGCCCTGAGCCCTCACCCACCCATGTACTCCATCAGCTCTTTTGGGACCTGACCCCTCCCTACATCTCTGCACAGAAGCCTCAGAGGAAAGCCCTGAAGACCAGAGGGATGCTGACCCAGCAGGAGATCAGGAATATCCATGTGAGTACGCTGCCCTGGGGGCCTAAGCCCCTCAGTTTCCCAAGGCTGACCTTCTAGGCTTGTGCAGCTCCATCTTTTAGAATTCCCTTTAGGATTCCTACAAATAAGGGGCTATTTTTAAGGCCTGCCGAAGGTCTTGCTTCTCTCAGGCCACAGAGGGAAGCTGGGTGAAGAGAAATCTCAGCCCATCTGTCCCTTGCCCCAGTGACGAGGGCGGGGTGACCTCTGGTGTGACCTGGGCATAAGATCGAGGAGAACCATTGCTTGTGGGAGGAACAGGTGATGTGCAGCCCTGCGTTCTCACCCTGTTCAAGCAGGTAAAGTAATTATTTTCTCCCCCCATCCCTCTGTCCTAGATAAACCAACGAGGGCTCTGGAAAAACCATCTAGATCCAAAAGCTGCTCATGGGCATGTTGTAGAATCTTGAGGCCAGGACAGGAGGCCTCCTGATGAGCCTCCCAACCTCCAGGCTGATTCCCAGCCTCTGCCCCAGGTCCCATGCCTAATGGGGTCTTTTCCTGATGGGTTTGGGAACAAAGGCTGAAAGGGATAGAGAGTCCAGGTCTCTGCATGGGCTCTGTCACTAGTCCCAGTAATGAGCAGGTGGGCAGGCCTCTGGGACCCCAGGAGCTCCTGCTTTGGACTTGAGGAAGGCCCCTTCATATGTAGCTCCTACAGGACCCTGGTGACCCTGGGTGCCCCTGGGGAGGACAGAGTGGGCACCTCAGAAGGCAGTCCTTGTAGTGTGTATTCCCCCAGAAGCAAACCTTGTACAAGGATATGAGTGCAGGTAGTTGTTTTGTAAGTGATTCTAGGAGGCACTAATAGGAAATGGGAAAGTAGGAAAAGAAAGAGGAGACAGCCAACAAAGGGTGTGTTATCAAACCAGTACCACTGTGGACAGCTGGAGCTTAATCCTATTAGGAACTCCCAGAGTTCTTCCCTGAGAGGTGGGGGAGATGGTAATTCCCTGGCACATCGAGCCTTCCACCCACGGGGCAGAGTGGGCTATCTTGCTAAGATAATAGCCTCTGTTGTTTTTGTTTTTGTTTTTGTTTCACAGATTTTATTTTTCCTTTTCCTCCCCAAAGCCCCCCAGTAAATAGTTGTATATTTTTTAGTTGTGGGTCCTTCCAGCTGTGGCACGTGGGATGCTGTCTCAGCATGGCCCGACAAGCAGCACCATGTCCGCTCCCAGGATCCGAACCGGCGAAATGCCGGGCCGCCGAAGCGGAGCACGCGAAGCCAACCACTTGGCCACGGGGCCAGCCCCTGTTTTTGTTTTTAATGCACGAGTGAATGATAGAAAGCAGTCAGATAATTCTAATAGGACTCTTTTTTTCCTATAGGTGAAACGCCATCTGGACCCCCTACCTGCAGGCTATTTTTATAATGGCACCCAGTTTGTCAACTTCTTTGGTGACAAGACTGATTTTCACCCACGTATCCTTGGAATCTGGGGCAGTGACACTGGGGGTGTATGGAAGCCTGGCTGTAAAGAGGGTGTCTTCTAGAGCTGCCGCAGCCCAGCCCCTGGAGGAGCTGGGTTCTGGGAACACACAGTAAGCCACAGAGGCAGACTTGTCGTTCTGGCCTCTTAGAGCCATTAAAATTACATTTCCCTTCATTCAGTGATTGCTGATGTTATTCTGTGGGCTATAGTTTAAATGTAGCTGTTATGATATCCTGAGTTCTGTGGTCATCAGGGTGTTAATTTACACATTGGAGACTGGGCCTGATTACAGTAGTTAATCTGTGAAAAGGTGGACGGGGTGCTCTGTATGCTAATGAAAGCTGGAGGGCTCAGTTCTAAGACTTCATGAAGGACCCTGTGCCAATCCCTGTCACATTCTTTGCAGATGTGGTGCTGCTAGTATATAAAAAGAGCCCATCAGGTACCTTCTGTGCAGACTGGGCACTCACCACCTCGGTGTCCCGCACCTCACCTGCCCACAGATCCCAGCAGACTCTCTTGTCCTCCTGGCTCAGGGCTTTCTTCCTTAATAGGATCCAGTCATGGACCAGTTCATGAATGACTACGTCGAAGAAGCCAACCGGGAAATCGAGAAGTATAACCGTGAGCTAGAGCAGCAGGAATATCATGACCTCTTTGAACAGAAGGCCTAGAGGAAGGCTGCAGAATGTCCACCCTAGAAATGGACGTTTAGAAACAGGGTGTCTTAACCTCAGCTCTCCCGGAGGCCCCTCCCTGGAGGGGCTGTCTTTGTTCTCCTTTGCCTTTGTGTGCTGGCTTGAGTGCATGTTGTGTTTATTCTGTGTACAGTGCTGAAGAGCATCACCTGCACCACTGATTTGGGAGGGGAGGGGGGTCCTCATGGAGGATGAGCAGACTTCCAGGATCTCTGGGTCTCTGGTAATAGTATCTCCTTTGGGATCTTGAGGCACTGTGCAAGGGTGGAGAGGAGGAGTGGATTGTAAGGAGCAACTGCTGGGATGCAGAAGGAACCCTGGCTGCCCAAACCATGGCCACACCTGGAGAGCCAGGCCACCATAGGCCTCAGGCCTCAGACACTGCCCCAGCAGAGCCCTATCCCCAGTGGAGTGCCTGCCTCCCTGCTTAGGCCCCTTCCATGGAAGGAACTGGCCCTGCTGGCCCTGAGCCCAGTCCTGGGGGGAGCAGCACAAGCCATGCCCAAGCCCAAGCCACAGAGCCAGCAGCTTGGGCCGAGGTCAACAGCTTGTTCTAAATGAGGGGATTTCCCTTATGGAATAACCTGAGGGGAAAGGCATGTTACTCTCCAGAAGCATGCGGCTTTTGAATTGACACAAGCAGTCTCCTTAGGATTGGTTTTGAGCTCCCCTCATGGCATCATTCTGCTTTGCCTAATTCAGGGACAAGAGCAAACCTGCTGTCAAGACTCCCTGGTGATGCTTTGCCTCACTGTTGTGGGGAGCATCCTGCAACTGTTTGGTCTTAAGCCCTGGGCTCTGATCACTTGTGGGGCATCCTTGAAGGGGATTCAGTCTCCAGCACCCAGCCTTTCTTTCAGCCTTGCCAGAGAAGGCCTGGTTTTCAGCCACAAACTTCAGGAAACTTGTGCCCCCAAGAATTGTTGCTGGCCCTGGACTTGTTCGGCTTCTGAGGACCAGGAATTTCAAAGAATTCCAATATCCAAGTTAGAATTCCTTCCAGTGGCTTTGTTTTCAGCTGGACCATCAAAGCAGACGGGAATTACAGTGAGTCCCATGCCTGACCTCCAGAATTTGTGTAGGGGAGGGAGGTTACAGGCATGATATTTAGGTGATGTCTGTTAGGACTTCAGCACCTTGGCTGCCTAGATTGTAAATGCTTCCTGAATTTCACATCCTTTTTGCATGCCTTAGGAAGAAGCACATAGGCAAAACCAGCCAAGTTTTCAGTAACGTAGAGGGGTTTTTGAGAAAGGTCCCTGGCACAGAGGGGAGTCAGAGACAGGATAGAGCACATTTGGTCTGTGTGCAAGTAGTAAAGCAGTTGTTAAGAACTTGTCAGTAAAATGTACTTGTATTAGAAAAAACAGTTTGTATTTGAAGCCAAACAAACAAAACTCCAAATACCATCGAATAAGAAATCTTGCATGAAGAAAGGCTTCTGAAAAGGCCGCTGTGCTCCAGTCCCAGCTCCCAAATCTGCTGGTGACAAGGGCCCAGGTGTGGAGCCCAAGTCTGGGAGCCCTCACTTCCAGCTGGCCAGAGGCTGGGGTCCACAATGGGCCTTCCTCTGCTTCAGAATCAATAATGTAGATCTTAAGTGCAATTGATGAAATAAGCAATGAGTTACTGTAGCTTCCTTTAGCTCTACCGAGCTCTTTTTAAAAACTCAAACTTGAGCAGCCTTAGAAAGGGAGGGGGGGAGGGAGGGTGGGGGGCATCATAGGCCATTTCCTCCAGGAGGGTTGCTGTGAAGTTTTAAATGAAAGCTCTAGATGTAGGAGCTCGAGCCGTTTCCTGGCTGCTGCAAAAAAGAGTTTTTAAAGAGGGGTCGGAGCCCGCCCATAAAAGCGGGTCTTCCCACTGCGTGGGGCTGTACTACTACGTGGTGGTCTCGATTTCTGACCATTGTCCATAGAAATGCTCTCTCACCAACTTGCCCCACTGTCCCAATTCCTCTTAGAGGGAAAACTGTGATTACCTCAACTTGAATATGAAACTGTGATTGAAAAAGGTCAAAACGTTAAGTTTCAAAGCCAAAAGGGCAAAACTGGCTGAGGCCTCCATAGACACTCCTCAGCCTGCTCAGGAGTGTGAAGGGGCACATTGGCGAAAGGGCATTCTTTGGGGCGCACTTGCTGTGCCCCTGGTGAAGAAGCACCCTAGCTGTGCACAGTGTGAGCTCTTTGAGGACTGAGGCCGGGAGGATGCCTCCTCCCCGAACTGCCTCTTCCGGAACCTGCGGGGCCTCTGGGTTCTGACTGTGAAGTTTAATATCCACTTGACTCCTCCAGGTGGAGGGACAGGGTCTTAGGCTGTTTCCAGGAGAAGGGCTATGACACTGTTTTAGATTTTGACCTTAGAAGTGGATACCAGGGACTCAACAGAGACCTGGGTTGTGGGTTCCTAGGAACGGGCAGAAGTCCTCCAGGGGCTTACATGCTTTTTGCCAACTTTCCTACTAGCAGCTTCAGTTTTCTATCACCGAGTGAGTGTGATAATCTTGAAGTCGCTGAAGTTATGGGTTATTTTACGTTTTGATGTGGGATTTTCCTTTTTTGATTGGAAAGAGGAGGCAGAAATTGGAGAAAAGGGATCACCCTAGGAAGGGGCCACTGGCAAGGAGTGTAGTTGGCCCCCACCAGGCCCTGGGGGCTCTCTGACCTGGGGCCTGGACACTGGGCCCTGCAGGTCACAAGAAATAGTTTCCTCCTAAATTCTATTAGGATTTTGGAGAATTTTTGCACAGTAATAAGCTCTGGGTTGTTCTTTGGGCTTCTCAAAAGGGAAAAATTAACTCAAAGACTGTAAACTGTTAAGTATTCCAGCCGTGTTGCTGACCTAGTTGGATAGTTGTACCTCAAAAAGTAGGTGAGAAATGGCTTCCTCATTATCCCAGGTTGTCAAATACTAATGACAGAAGAGCTCACTTACGTGCCAAAATTCACTTTTATACTAGTTTTTCAGTGCTTTAATATTTGTAACTTAAATTTTAAAACTCATATTTACAAACACTACTGTAACTTCAGTGAAACTGAATTGTGTGATTGAAGCTTTTTGCTTATTATAGTATTTATTACACTACTTAATTCAGTAAATATATAAAAGTAGCCTTCAATTTATTTTTATATTATTTTACATGTTTTTACCCGCAGTTGTGTATGTGAATTTACCTTGGTAATGAGATGTAATGCTAAGGACCAATAAACTGTCACTGAACGAGCAAGGCCTCCCAGAGTTGCCTGTCGCTGTAGACGCAGCCCCGGCGGGATCGGGTTGAAGAGGTGGCCGGGTTGAAGAGGTGGCCCGCCCCCTGGCACTGGGGACCTTCCTTCAGCCTCCCCTGGGATGCCTCTTCGCTGGAGCTCCCATTCCCCTCCCCAGACTCCAGAGCGGCCTGTGGGGAATGAAATTGCTAGGAGGAGACCACCCTTGGGGTAGGCACTCTTGGCGAGTCCCAGAACCCGAGGAGGGGCTCGAGGAAGCCCGCTGTGGGCACGAGGGTTTTCCGGAGCACCGGGGAAAAACCCCGCCACCGCACCCTCGGCGTCCCTGTAGAAGCCTGTCTGGGCCGGCGGGCCCGGGATGGGTTCGCGGCCCGCGCCGCCCCGGCCAGGCTGCCGCAGGAACCGTTGCTTCCCAGGCTTGTCGGCTCGTTCAGTCCCGGCCCAAGTTCCGCCGAGCGGCCGCTCGGTCTCGCTTTACAGATGGAGGACGACCAAGGCGCGGGAGTCCAGTCACTGGCCGGTTAAACAGAGCCCCCGCTGTCTCTCCCGGCCTCTTCACGTCCCGAGGCAGGCCGGCCGAGTGCCCGAGCCCGCGGAGGACCGGGCACAAGTGCGCCCCCGCGCGGGCCCCCGCCCCCCTCGCCCACCTGCCCTCGGCGCCCTGTGCTGCGCGGCGCGGGGCTGCGGCGGGGCCCTGGCTCCTCCGGCGGCCTCGCGGGCCGCGTACCCCTGGGGCGCCACTCTTGTCCCCAACTCGGGCTGCGGGGAGGGACCTCTGCCCTTTCGGGAAAAGGGCTGACTAGGGAGGGACACCGCCGCGACGCAGCGCGTCCACAGAGACCCTGCTTCCTGTCCCACCCTCAACGCAGGGGCCTCCGGACAAGAGACATGCCCCACTGGGAAGATTTGGGAGCTGGCCCAAGGAGGATGGAGCAGCCTCCCCAGGCAGCTTCCTTCGGTGGGTTGGGGTGGTGGTCTTGCGTTTGGAGGTTCTATGTGGTGGATTAGTCATGTACAAACCAAATGCAAAACGGCTTGGCAGGGGCCGGGAGAATAGGGGGCGGGAGGTTAGCAGCAGTATCACCCTCCTCAGGACGGCCTTCCCCAGAGCCTCCCGCCGCCCCCATCCTGCAGGGCTAGGTTTGAATCTTGGTGGACTCCTGTGCTTGCCCTTCCGGGATCGGCCAGGGTTTGGGAATTACCCCCAAAGAAGTGTCAGGGAGGTAGGTATGACAGTAAAGGGCAAAGGGCTCCCCGGCTGGATAGTCTTTGAGGGCCAGGATGACTTAAAGGCCAGGAAGCCTGGGGACCAGGGAAGGGGGCCCATCCCCACCTGGAGCCCATAGAAGGGGCAGGGGACTACTGAAACCTGTGGGCATGCTTGACAGACCAGCGCCCCTGAATCAGGGAATCCTGGTGGGGTAGACATGTGGAAAGTGATTTGTAGCAGAGGGTCTTGGGTGGAGCTGCTGAAAATATCAGGGTTCTCTGAGGAGCAGAGAGAAATACTGATGTATTAATTTCTATCATACAGTCTAGGAATAGTCATGACCAAAGAAAACATGACCATGTATGCCCCACTTCCAGCCCATGACGGAAAGGAAATGGCTTGGTTGCTATAAGAAGAGTAGGTTGATAGCAGCTTCAAGTTAGCTGGGCCCAGGCACTCATGTGTGATCAGAGCCCTCTCTCCATCCTTGGTGGCTTCTCTCTCCCCTGCCAATTAGCTTCCTCTAGGCCACCAGCAACCCCGACACCCCAAAGGCAAGACCCAATCTTCCTCTCCAGAGGCAGCCCCAAAGGCTGGGGTCACAGTCCCATCCCTGAATCAGTCATAATGGTCAGGAGTATTCTGTTTGGCCTGGCCAAGGGTCACTGTGCACTTACAAGGGCCCCCAACACCACTTAGGAGCTGGGTCCCCCAAAGAAGGGCTTGCTCCCCTAGACCAGTAGTGCACAACCCCCTGCAGGCCATTTCTGAGCTTTTTCTGTTAAGATCAGATACCTATTTGATTTTTAAAATTTTGCTTTCTGCTAGTCTTTTCTAGTACAGTGAGAGCAAACAAATTTCTTCTGTGGTGGTGGTGGTGATAGGAGTGGTGATTTTTAACAAAGGGAAGAAAAATTTCATATTGAAAATATTCTATCCACTAAGACAGGTCCCCGTCCTGTCCCGTCCCGTCCCCCCCCCCCCCCACCCCCACCCCTGCAGACAGAGAAAAGGCTCTATAGTGCCCCAGCACACCCAGGGACACCAGTGTTCCCTGGGAGCCTGTTTGAGTTATCTTTTCTTCCTAAATAAAAGAAAGATTATGTAGACTGTAATTGTGACGGCTGGACTGCTGCCCCACATTGCTGGAGGCGAGAAGTGGACCAACTCGAGAGAGACTTTGAAGGAACAATTCACAAGACAAAATGACTAATCAGACAAGAGCAAAGGGGATGACCTCAAGGTGGAAGTGGAAAAAGCCAAAGTGGAAAAAAACCGAACGTTTTGAAACAGTTCCAAAAACTTTTTGTTTCATTCTCCAAAAATTTGAAGAAAAATAAATATTTATTCATAAATTATTCCTATTTTGCCCAGGCCTCTGCATTGCAAAATTGACCGGCCAAAATAATTTGGTTAAAAAAAATTGCATCAGGGTCAATAAATGTTATGTCAAACTAGTAAATGACTACAAATCTGTAAAAAAAAAAAAACAAAGCTAACCAAATAAAGTGTATGTTTCCATTTTATCCTACAATCATTACTACTGTTCTTCCTGTACCAATAAAGAAGTTTAATTTTTTCCTCTCATGGCTTCACATTTTTAAGAAACTTTACATCTTTACTCTGAAATTTCATGCCTGGATGAATGGACAAATAATAGCAAAATAAGGACAACAGGAAGAGGAAAGATGGTTTGATAACCAACAATTC